AGGTAATATTTTTCTTAAAAAGTGATATCATTATAAGAAATATGTTTGGAAGTAGCAAATCTGTTTGCCACATCTACATTAAATAAAAGGTAATGATGGAGAATACATATCTAAAAAAGTTCAATTCCTTACATTCCTGGAACAGTACTGTTGTCAATCAACATAAAGGTATATATATTGTCAAAGGATGGAAAACTGATGTCCTCCAGTGTCCTAGAGAGGCATCCAAATCTTACCTCCCAGCCCTGTTCAAAGTTTCATTCATTCCTTCAGTAAATATTTATCCACCAAGTACAGCATGCCCTGAAGGAGAAGACGCTCTGATATTTCTGTGCCAGAACAACTCTAATCATTAGAAAGTCAATAATTACATTGTACTAAAAGCTGCTTCATTAGTCCTAATACTGCTTTTCAAATAAAAACCAGTACATTTTCCACATGGTAGTCTTGGACATATTTGAAGTATGTCTCATGACTTGTCTGGACTAAACATTCCTATGCTTGTCCTTTGTGGGGGAAATGTCATGACTTGCATTTTTGTAGCTGCTACCCTGAGGAATAGTTCCAGATTAGGGGCCCATGTTTGCAGAATATTTTTCTTGACCCATATATAGTTTAAAAAAATCAATTGCCAAGATTAAAAATCAGAAGATATCACATAATAATAAATATATCTCACATTTTGGTAAATACTTCAAGGTCCCAAGATCAAAGGCCCCTGGAGTAGCAGCCCCTTAACCACATCATGCACTACCCAGCTCACCACACCCTTCGCCTGTTCTTATTGCCTGAGGGAGGCCAAGTGGCAGTTGCCATTTAACATCTTGCTCTTTCTTTCTCTTTCTCCCACCCCACTCCCTTTCCTCCCTCCTTCTTCCCTGCTTTTTTCCCTTCCTTCCTACCTTCCTTTCTTCCTTCTTTCCTTCTTTCAGTTCTGGGTCAACTTCATTTCTTTACATTACATGCCTGGTATCTTAAGCAATTAAATTTGCTCCTAAACCAGACATCACTATCCCTTATAAAACTTTATGTCCAGAACTAAGCACAATACAGCACTTTTTAGACCACTCTCTTTGATCATGATGCTATACTCTTATATGCAATAACAACAGCATTATATTCCTAAGTATCCAAAATATTCAATTCACAGTCAAGTAAAATTCTCCAGGCTGAAGCAGCCCTTTCTACAAAGCTGGAATTCCTCGAAAACCACCTGCAGACTCAGCACTTCCTTACAGCCTAGAGGAATACTTGGAGCTCTAGCTAACTGTGAGACTAAACGTAAGTCACCCCCGAAATGACACATAGCTATGTTCTAATAACTCAGCTTTTACCTTATTCTCACTTGAATCTTTATTCTGATAACTGAATCACTGCTTATTTACCTGTGCAGAAGCTCATGCTTGGAACCTTGTCATTCCAGAACATGTGCCTGGTCCCTAAACCCTAGCACAGTAACTGATGCTGTTATTGACTTTAGATGAATGGTACATTGCTTGTATCTGAAAATGAACCTGGCTGTTGTCTGTCTCTGTTATCCCAGCATCCTCATTTGTAATTGTTCCTGTTCCACCTGTTGGATTGATTTGCCCCCTTCTGCATAGGCTCTGGATCCCTCAGTGTCAACCCTATGAGCAGGCAAGCCCAGATCCAGGTCCCACTTCTAGTGATCTACATGATCTGCTAAGTAAACCATACCAACTTTTATCTTCTTAAATCTAAATAGTAGATAACTGAGTCTTTGTAGTGTAACAGTTTGAATTTTTTAGTCTGAATTAATAACAATATTTACCAGCAGTATAATTAATGATGTAAGTACATGACTATTTTTAAATTAGCCTAGAGTTACAGTCCCAAAATATTCACAAAGGGCCTTTACAGTGTCCGTGTTTTCCAATTGCTCTTTCCTTTTGGTTACCATCAACCTCCATGTTGCTTGTTTTAGCAATAAACTATAAGCTAGAGTTTAGTTTTTCAACCTCGATGTAGAACTTTATAGATGTCCCTACTACATTTACCTAGTTAGATATAGCCTTTCATTTCACTTTTAAACACCTTTTCAACCTTAAGTTATACAATATATTACATATGCATTCTAGTTTTAAAGATTCTGAAAAAAATGATAATCATCCCCTTATTATCTACAAAGTAACTAAAGCAAATTTTGAACGGGCCAAGTATGGAGACATGCAGCTCTTTTCTTTTTTTTTTTTTTTTTTTCATGCAGCTCTTTTCTATAGACAATTCTCTGAGTTAATATATTTCTTGATTTACTGTGCCATTAGGCCTTGAGTTTTAGCCTTTTCCTTTCTTCTTACTGTAACATTGATGTTTTTAGTAGTTGGAAAACATTCGGTAAATAAATATGGATTCTGGCATTTAAAATTCATAGTTAAAATTTCTTCTTCGCCAGTAAAATACAAACAGTCCAGGTAGAAGTGGTAGGTACCTGGTATAAGTGATATAAGTAAATATTTGAGCGTAGAATCCATAGAACTTGGGCTAATTCAAAGTGAGGTTACAAAAAAGAAAGGCAGAATCTAGTCTGACTTCTAAGTCTGCGATGTGTGTGATGTGTGATGGAGTGTATGGAGTACCGCAGCCAACAGAGGATGGGCCTTACGAAGAGGTAAGACAATAAACTATATTGTAGATGTGTGGTGTGTCAGGGTCCTGTGGGATATCCAGGCATGGATACATAAAATACAGATAGATATATTAATCTGAAACTATAGAAGGTCTATAGAGGAGAAAAAGATCTGGAATTCATTAGTAAAACAGGTACGGTGTGAAGCCATAGGAAATGATGAACTTGCTCAAGAAAAACATACAGATGAGAAAGAGGAGCATGCAGAAGAAAGAACGTTGAGGGACATAACAGCACTTGGTTAAATTGTGACATTAACTACCCCACTGGAAAAATAATATTTTAAAAAATTGGATAGGCTGCCAAAAGCTCCATACCACTGCACATAAGGCACCAAGGTCAAATGGTTTCATAGGGAAGTTTCACAAACATTAAACTTTTCCAAAGCACACACCAGTGGATTTCAACCGGGGAGGATTTTTTTGTTTGCCAGGGGACATTCATCAATGTCTGGAGATATTTTTGTCCCAACTGGGAAAGGTGGTGGTGGTGATGGCGAGGGTGTTCTATTGGCCTCCAGTAGGAATAGGCCAGAATGCTGCTGCACACGCTACAATACACAGGGCAGCCCCCGCAGCAAAGAATTACTGGCCCAAAATGTCAAGAGTGCCAAAGTTGAGAAATTCTAGCACAGAAGAAAAACTTGTAAAATGCAAAAAGCTTATTCTTGGTTTCTGTTCGAAGGCAAATGAAATTCCGAAACTAAAGACTATCAAAGATGGCTGGGATAAAATTATGAATAAAGCTTACTTATATTTGTTGATGCAGTTATATCAATAAAATATGAGAAAGTGCAAAGTTCTTATTAAAATAATACACATGACAGAGAAGACTTTACTTCAAGAGTGCATGGATGATTCAACAAAAGCAAACCTGACAATATTTAATATCAAAAAGAATGGAGAAAAACTGCATTTCAACGTATCCCAAACAGTATTCAAAAAATTCAGTATCCAACCCTAATTAAAATTTATAATCCTAGCCTAGGGAATGAAAGAACCTTTCTAACACGGTAAAAAGCATATATTAAAATTTTAAAAGTCTTATTCAATAGTGAACTACTGTAGATATTTCCATCAGAATTAGGAAAAAGAAAAGTGTGACATTCATCACTGTGTTGGGTAATACTCTGTATTATAATAAGACAAGAAAAGGTCTAATAATATAAATTTTAGAATGGAAGAGACAAAATAATCATTACCTATATATATTTTGAATGCTTAGAGAATTCAAGAAAAAAGATAGAAAAATATTCAAATTATTGAAAGAATACAGAAAATTTTATTAAAGCAAAATTTAAAATTAATTCTAGAAATAATCAACTAATCATCGAGTTAAAATTGTTATTCTATTCACTTTAATAATAATGATAATAAGCTTAAAATAAATATCCAAGTGTGTGCCTATCTTTTGTTTTTGGCTACCCACCATCTCTTCCTCCTTTTCTGTATAGCAACCTCCTCGTTCTATGGTGGGGAATTGGGGATGTCCGTTACATGCTGCTACCTCGATCCCCAGAGCTGCTCTGGCCATCTTTTTCTGAACCCATTATTTTTCTTTGTTTGTAGAGATACCCTCTAAAGGTTCAATTGATTTGAAATTGTTTGTTAAAGTAGTTTTATTGCTTTCACCCAAAGAACTAAAAAACTGATATACAGAGGACAAAAAGAAAGTAAAGTTCAATCACAAAACCAAAAGAACACATGAGCAATTAGGTGTATGTTGCTCCTGAGTGGAGGGACTCAATCAGTAAAGATGTAAGTTTTCTCCCAAATTAATGATTATAATTCTCTGCAATCACAATTCCACTGTAAGGGTGTGACTTTTAACTAATTAATACTACATTTTATTTGAAAAACAAATGCAGAAAATAGGACAACTTTACAAGTATCATGCAGTGTATCTTCCCATCAGATAATAAAAACAGAACAAATAAGCCCTGTTTATTGTAGGAAGGAACAAGAATAAAAACATAGATGAACAAACATAAAAGAAATTCGGGCAATAACCTCACAAGTAATAAAATTCTAATTGAAAACTAGTAAAAAATTATTCAAACAAGTTATACCCTCTCCCCCTATATTACACACACATTCACAATGCTCCAGTTTGATTAAAAGTTTAGATTTAAAGTATAGAACCATAAAAATTTAAGAGAACTTTAAGAGAATATTTTCATCACCTTGGTGCAGGGAGGGTCTAAATTTAGAAAAAAGAAACCTTGACCAAACATCGTAAAGGAAAAAATGGATATATCTGTTTACATAAAATATAAAAGTAAAAGTCGCTACACAACAGAAGTCACCATAAACGAAGTCTGAAAATTCATTTGACAAGTGAAAACATACTTTACCTCATTAGTAATCCAAGAGCTGCAATTTTAAACAGCCAGTCAAATTGAGAATGATTGAAAGACCTATCGAGAAGGAGGCTCCAAACACTGTGGACAGAGATCAGTACATTTCTGACAGGCAATTTGGAAGAAGGGCTTTACATTCTAAGTGCACAACAATTTCTACTCAGCAAATTTACTTCTAGGAATTGATTAAATGGGAATAATTTGACAAGTACAAAAAGCAGATATATGTTTGGTTCTTTGAATATAATGATACTAATTTGGAAACAGCCTGAATGACCATCAGTGGTGGATTATTCATGAAAAAAGTACAGCACAACCATGCAGGAAAGTATTTATTATACAGTCATTAAATATTCTGAATTATGATAGAGGTAATAAACGGATGTCCACAACACATCAAGTAAAATAAAGCTGGTTGCTATTCAGTTTGTCTCTATGCTATGGAGTATAATCCCCAGTTATTAAGACAAAGTCTAGAAGAATATACATCAAATAATTCGAATGATTACTGGGGGGTAAAAAATGTTAAATCTTAGGTTTTTACTTCATATATTTTCTTACTGCTTGAATTTTTCACACGCATCAAATATTATTTTTGTAATTGCAACACATTAATGTCAGTTCACTTTTGAAAGAAAAGTTGGATCAGAAAACAAATCATACATTTGGACCCAATAATCTCACTTACTATAGTTAATCCAAAGAAAAATAATTCAAAATAAGAAAAATCTACAGAAATATTTTATTGGATCATAATTTATCATTGTAAAGTATTAAAACCAGCATATGTGTCCAACAATAAGAGAATATGTTATCTGATGTAAAATTGTACAGACATTAAAATGCAATTACAAAGTTTTGTCGGAACTTGATACAACATATTTGACAAAAATAACAAGTGAGAAAGCAGGATATAAATTATATGTGTTTAATAAATATCCAAGTGTGTGCAAATGGATGACAGATTTTAATGGGCATTAACTTAGATGGGATTCTTCTTTGTCTGTATATATGTTTAAATTTTAAACTCTTAGTAATATTATTTAATTTTATTTCATGAAAATACTTTAAAAAATGAGGCATCCTTCGTTTCTTTCCATTAAGTCTCCTTGGCTGTTCAGTGAACTCCTGGGAGGCAATCAATTCATTTTACCATTGACTCTTCACTGCGATTTCACATTACTTATCCCAGTTTGTGATCATTTGTTTATTTGTATATTTACTGATTTTCAGTCCTTTCAAACTTAATCGTCCATTCATAAGTTCTATATTTTTTCCCATTTTACTCAATAAATTCTAAGGAACATGAGGGCAACCACCACACCTGTTTATTTATACTCTTTTCTAGTAAAGTTATTGTAATAGTTCCACATTTACATCATTTAATACTGTTTAATAAACTGTTTAATACCGTTTAAGAAACGGTATTAATCTGTCAGAAAATAAAAACTGCCCAGATAGGAGAAATATATTTATAAAAAAAAATAAAGGAGGAGAGGACAACACACAACACTTGGTTCTAGGAACTGTTATAAGCACTTTACAAACATCATCCCCTTCAGTCCTCCTAATGAGCCTATGGAGTAGGTACTACTGATAAACTATTTTACAGATGAAAAAAGCTGAATTGTAAGAGGATAAGGACTAGATAAATCCTGGTATGAACCAGGACTGGTATGAACCAGTCTGGACATTCTGGCTCCAGAGTCTGCGACTCTTTACCACTGGTGTTATCTAACATGGCTCTTTCGTACTGTTATTAAACAAGTACATCAATTAATATTATGTGATATACACATAGAATAACTAATTTAAAGAAAACTGTTGAAGATATGCATACATAGTGCACATAGTATTGAAATTTTAGGAGGTTTTTTTTTGAAGATTTTGTGTACTTACAGGAGTTGGTCATAGGGAACCCACTAAAATCTATCTAAACTATATTTTTGGTCTAATTAATAAAAAGATCTCTCTGAAAAACTATCAGATAACATTCCTTTTCTCTAATTCCAAAGTGTCATTTAAAATTAAGAAGTGAAATTGCATATATTTAACTTACACAGAATCTAGATTATTTGGAAAGTTCGTTTGTCCTCACTGGTTTTTTGAGATAGACTGAGTAAATAAGACTAGCAGTTACAAAATATGGTTCATCAAATTTTCCCTGAATCATCTTAATGGATTGCTGGCAATGGAATAGGAATTTCCATTATATAGAAAGGAGCGGTCACTAATTCTACTTAAAGCCAATGGCCTGAAAGATTTTGGTCAAAAAATGTTGTAAACTCATTTGCAATGCAGCTAAAAGTATTTGCAGGGAGACAAAATGATTATTTTTAGCAGGTAGGGTCTTCCACATGTTAAAAATGTGTTCTTCACTGGTACTTCCTAAGCTCTTGGTAAACTGAATTTTACAGATTAACCTTTTACCTACTATCAGTGCAGTACAAAGTCAGGGTATTTAAACTGTAAAAGTGATTAAATTGTACGCCTTAGAATGCTTTACAAACGTAATCATAAATTCATAGTTCCTTTTTTTTCCCTATTTCAAAATGGGCTGTTGATAGCTGTAGCTAGGATGGTCCTATCTCGTCTGATGTTATTTTATTGTTTTGGTACATTTGACAGTAAGGAATGTAATTATCTTTCCTACAGACTTAGCAATGGTACGATGAGACATTAGCAATCAACAAAAGCAAAATACTTAAAAATTTCATACCTCTTTTACGTCGAGCAAGAGGACAATAATGCTCTACTGTTTTGTGATGTATGGCAATGTTTGTTTTTTCTTATTTTGAAGTGTCCCATGCCTTTATAGAGAGTGGATCGTACTCTTCAAACTGTGAGTGTAAAACAAGGTAATATAAGTAAAAGCACTATGGAAAGTGTAAACTAGGCAAGGTATTCTTCATCATTCTTATGTCTTAATTCTTATGTCTTTTTTATTATATTATCTCCCTCTCCCTATCCTTCAGCCTGAATATCAAGCTGCCCTCCCTTTGTTCCACATAGGGTAGATTCCCCACCAGTTATTAATCAATGAAGCCATTCTGTGGGGTATGGCCAGGAAATTTACCTCATCTTCCAAATTTTAAATTTGCTGTGTTTAAACAATGGGAAGAGATGAGTTGTCACCTCACCATAATGTCATTTTAAAAATCCAACATTTCTAGTTAAACATTTGTGATTTGATACCTCCTTTTTGGTCTTTAGATTCCTATCTCCACCTCCCTCAAATAGATCCTAGTTAGGTTCACAGTAGGAAACACCGGGTGAAATAAAACACGTGAACTTTGGAATAAGACAGAATTGGGTCCCCATTCTTAATTTGGTATTTTGTGTTTGTGGGTTTACCATTGAACTGCGTAATCTCACCATTGAACTACATGATCTTTCTCAACATCAGCGTTCATAGCTGTCAAGTGAGCACAGTAATAAAACCTCTTAAGTTGTTATAAAGCTTAATATACAACCTACTACATTTAGTAAACTCTCTATGTGTGATATTTAGTGCATTTTCTTCTTTCTATAACAATTAAGGTCAACTCTTCTTTGGAGAGCTATTTTTTTAAAGTCCTAAATAATCTTCTTTAATGTTGCCTATGTAATAGGAGCTATAAACTCTTTGCCTCTCTGTCTTAACAGAAATGACCAAATTATATGTAAACCAAATGTTCTAAAAAGTTCAAAATGATACGGTATTTGTTTGAGAATTAGATGTATCTTACAGACTAATTTGGATTCTTGATGTTTAGTTTCCTCTTTCATTCTGCTCGCAGCCCAGATAACTGAAAAGAGATATAAGAAATGTTTACAGTTTAGTTTATCCTCTCGTGTTCTTCATTAACTTACTGTGGGTGTTGTTCTTTTAAAAGGCCAGGGTTCATGGTTCTGTTTTTTAATTGCAATTCACTCTTTCCCACTTCTTCCAGGAGCTTCAGCTTTATCATTGCTGTGAGATTTACAGTGCTTCCTTCCATCGTCATCTTGCTAATAGGCAGTGGTTGAACTCCCCAGAGCCTAAACTAGGAAATCTGAGCAGTACGTAATTGCTATGGCTGGAATCGCATTCCACTTCAGAAGCTTCTTAACAGCATTCTCAGATGTGTGACTATCCATTAGTGACCCAAGGGGATTACTCCCTGGCACCAGGTTTACCTTTATGAGGGGCCTGCATGATGAGCCCTTCCCTCCCATAAGCAGAAGGTGAGGAGAGGTGGGTGGCTCAGAGGTTGGTGAATTCAAAAGGAAAATATGTGGGAAAAGAGAGTGCTTTTAAAAGAAAGGAATTCAAAAGGGAAACTATAAAATTTGGCCTTGGGGGTATGTAAGTTTAGTATTTATACTGAGTAAATAGCTAACATATTTATCAAAACATCCAAGGGCAGTAAGGCTAAGTAACATGACTTGATCTTCCTGTGTCTGTTTATGTGGATGGTAACTGAGAGTAAGCAACACTGAACTTTCACTTCCTGTTCACTGGATCTAGGACAGACAACACTGGGACGATGACTCAGTTGCTCCAGCAGCAACTGCCCTTTGAGGAGAAAGCTTCCTGATTTCACCATGTCTCTGTTTAAATATTTCTACCCTTCCTGCCCACCCCCAACAGCCCTTCAGCTTCTCTTTTTGCAACATCTCTAACCACTGTCCCCTAGATGTTATAGCAATCACAAAGGCTCCTTTTCACAGTTTTTAGATCAAAGCAGAAATGTTTTTGCATGGATGTGCTTATTTTACAGAAGAGGTTCACGGGTTTTCTTGCATAAACAATGTCTGCATTATCACATATGCACAATCAGTGTGAAAGGCTACTACGTATTCAAGTACTATATACAGTGAGAAGATAAACAGAGAAAATTCTAAGGTTATATTTATGGTTTAAACCCATGATATGAACAAAGTGAGGAAAGAGTTCATTCAAAAATATCAGAATCTGGAAAGTATCTAGCCACACTGTATAGCCTTTCACAACTCCTAGTAGAAACCTTTGCTTCTAGTAATAAATACACTATTTAATGTTAGTGCAACAAATAGAGGATTTAATAACATACTGTTTAAAATTATAAGTTTTGAAGGCTTATATGAATAAATGAATGAATATAAGGAAATTTAATTAGAATTAGAAATTTCCTAGGCCAAAAATAATGGCTTATATGGTTCATGAACAGATGGGTATTCAGATTTCATCCATTAGAGTGTGTTTCACAACCCTGGCTATACGTTAGAATCACCTAGGGAGCTTTTAAAAAATGCTTCCTGAGCCCCACCTCCAGTAATGCTGATTGAATTGGTCTGTGGTGGGCCTAGGCATGGGTATTTATTGAAAGCTCCCCAGGTGATTCTAATATGCAGCCAGGGTTAAGAATCACTGCATTACAGTCTCATAGGTAGGCTTTTAGAATTCCTTGCAGATTATATGAATGAACATCTCTCACTGATCTATTAGGGAGAGGGAACTGTGAAAGAGATAGAGAAAGAGGAAAAGATGTGTAGAAGGAGAAAGAGAGAAGAAAAGGAAAGAGAAAGAAAGAAGAGAAAGAAAGAAGGAAAGAAAGAAAATAAATAAAGAAAGAAAAAGAAAGGAAGAAAGAAAGAAAGAAAAGAAAGGAAGGAAAAGAAAGGGAGAGAGAAGAAAGGAAAGAAAGAAAGAAAGAAAGAAAAGAAAGGAAGGAAGGAAGGAAAAGAAAGAAAGGGAGAGAGAAGAAAGGAAAGAAAGAAAGGAAGGAAGGAAGAAAGAAAGAGAAAGGAAGAAAGGAAAAGAGGAAAGTAAATAAGTGAATTCTGGCTGTTCCCCATTAATATGGAGTTCTTACTGGATAGCTGTTAAATACTGACAGCTATGGTGGTGACTATAAACACACTATGGTGAAGCTTATAGTCTATTGAGAGGAAACAGACATTAGTCAAATAAAACAGAAATGCCTATGAAATTATAAATGACAAAAGCCTTGAAACCAAAAGTACACAGTGCTATAGGAAAAAGGCTCTTCTGTACTATTTGGGAGGCAGGGGTTTCCCAATGAAATAATTTTGAACTGAGATCCGAATTACAAGAAAAGATGAGGGAGTGAAGTGATAAAAGACAGAGGGAAGTGCATGTGCAAAGGCCGTGAGCCTCCAGGGACTGTTTATTGAAAGGAAAACAGTAAGTTTCCCATATAGAGATCAATAAAGAGTTTTTTCATAGGTGATACAAATTTAGGAGTCATTTCCAAAGTGAGTTAATGAATACTATTGGATGAAATTTCCTTTGGAGAAAGTATAAAGAGAAGTTTGAAGAGAAGAGAGTCTAGGGCCTGATCTTTAAGAACATTCTCTTCAGAAGAAAACCAGGAAAATATGGTCTACATTTATTTCAAATTTTCTTTCTTTTATTTTCCTGCATCTATGCATCGTGATATAGAAGTTTCCATGAAGTTCGAATCAGTTTAAATGAAATATGGTCATTACTGTCTTTGCTCCCAACCAACTGACTTCTCTAAGTCCTAGATTCATAATATTTTTTATAATGAAGATAGACTTTTTTCTTTTAAACATCTTTATTAGAGTATAATTGCTTTACAATGGTGTGTCAGTTTCTGCTTTATAACAAAGTGAATAAGTTATACATATACATATGTCCCCATATCTCTTCCCTCTTGCATCTCCCTCCCTCCCACCCTCCCTATCCCACCCCACTAGGTGGTCACAAAGCACTGAGCTGATCTCTCTCTGTGCTATGCGGCTGCTTCCCACTAGCTATCTATTTTACGTTTGGTAGTGTATATATGTCCATGCCACTTTCTCACTTTGTCCCAGCTTACCCTTCCCCCTCCCTGTATCCTCAAGTCCATTCTCTAGTAGGTCTGCGTCTTTATTCCTGTCTTGCCTTAGGTAGACTGAGAAAGAGCAACCTGATGCTCTGAGAAAAACAGATGATTCAAAAGAGAGTGAGAAGTTTCAAAATTATTAGAGCATCCAAAATCTTATGGAAATTAATATAGATCTAATCAATGGTGTGCTGGTAATTACTTCACAATTGGTTCTTCAAAACTGAAAAAAGAAGCTGATTTGGAACAATTGTCCGTTTTCATAGTGTAAATACTCCCACTCAGGCTGATTTCCAGCTTCAAGGAGGTCACTGAACTCAGCGTTTAGAAGAGATTCACAAAATTGATCCTTGCAAGCCAGTTCAAGCCAGCTCAAGATGAAAACACAAAATCTCAAGAGACTACCCCAATTCCATAATCTCATAGTTCTAGCATATGGAACATCTGAAAGAGAGCTCAGAACATTTCACAAGTCTAGTGGTTTTTCTACTCACCATGCTAATAATAGTGATATAGACTAGTAGTTCTCCAAATATGATCCCAGAACCAGCAACCTAAGTAGTATCTGTGAAATTCTTAGAAATGCAAACTCACAGGTCTCTTCCCAGACCTACTGAACCAGAAAATCTAGGACACAGCAATCAGAGTTTTAATAAGCCTTCCAGGTGACTCTGATGCATCTTAAATTTTGAGAACCACAGATCTAGACAATAATAATCCCTTGATGTTTAGGTAAGAGATGCTTTCCAGAGAATTATTATCCTCTCATCCGTGTTTCCTATAGCCCTAATTCTAATAACAATGTAAAACTGCTCTTTAGGAAGATCAATCTGGAAGCTTTGTTAGATTCAACAAAGAGAAATTGAAACTTTAGAAATAAGTTAAGGTCTTGATTTATTGTGCTGATTGTGAATGGAGAAAGGAACAGTCCCAAGGTAGAATCTGTAGCAACAACATCTTTTTGGAAGTGAAGGCTAACATACAGAGAAATTTAAAATGCCTTCAAGGTTTTCAGCTTGGTTAGCTGGAGGAACAAGTGTTTCACACAGAAATGAATTTTAAAAAAATCCTGTCTGCAAACCTATCCTGGTTTCTCCCCAGTTTGTCTCTATGGTCTTTCTCCTTTTAAACACACTCAGAACTTTATAAATATATCTCATATAACACATAATCTCCTGAATAGTATTATATTTTCAATCTCTGCACTGGAGGATGCAGAGCTGTATTCATCCTTACATCCATTGCAAAGCTTGGCAGAATGTCTTCCACATAGTAGATTACCCTAATAACTGAAATAAGGAATCCAGATGTAGGAATCATTTCACAAAGGTGATTAATTTCATCAATATTTATATACTTTGACGTCTCAGGACAATGGGAAGCATGAGGTGAAAATATAAGGAACAGTTGGAGTCAAATTTCCAGGAGTGTTCACAACCACATGTAAACCTTCAAACAAGGTTCAGTCACAGTTTAGTTCAAGCCAATACATTTTTAAGTGAGTTTCCTTTGCTGCAGCCAGCACTCATTTTGTGTATGCCAAGTCCCTGATTTTAGCATTTTCCCTGATTTTATAGTTCCTATAGTTTGGGGGTCCTAAAACTGTTAAGCCTTTCATTTTACATTAATGTACAAGTCAATATCAATTATGGAACCTATTTTTGAATTGAATATGTAGAATTACGTGTCAAATATATTTTAAATATTAATTCTCTAATAGTCTTGCTGTCTGAAATATTTTAGCTAGATGGAAAAAAACATTTATCTTTACACTTATATGCCAAGGCATGCATAAACTATTTTATAGAAAATAAAACAGAAGCTTCTAGTAAATTCATTATTAAGAATATAGAATATTATTATAGAATAGGCATTTCTGAGTTATGAGCAAAACCCAAGTATGTTTACTATCAACTGGAAAGGAAAAAGGAAAGAAAAGAAAGAAAAATGTATTTGTAGGCTATAAGAAAGAAAAG